TTTAGTGAAATCTTGTTTCAGAATTTTAAAAAGGCTGAGGGTGCTGGGCATGGTGGCGTATACCTATAATCCCAGCATTTGAGAGGCCAAGGCAGAAGGATCATTGTGAATTCAAGACCAGCCTGGGTTACAAAGTGAGCTCAAGGCCAGCCTGAACTCCTTAGTGAGACCTTGTCTCAAAAAGACATAAATAGGGCTGGTGAGATGGCTCAGTGGTCTAAAGCACCTACTTAGAACAAGCTTAGCAAAGCACAGGGACCGCGGTTCAATCCCCAGCACCACATGCCAGCCAGCCCCGCCCCCTGGTGGGCTGAGCTGGCCACACACACACATAAATAAAATTTTAAAAAAGACATAAATAAATGAATAAATACATAAATACTCTGAGGAGGTAGCTCAGTGGTATAGTATCCCTGGGTCAGATCCCTAGTACTGGGATTAAGGAGCAATTATATGAAGCTGGAAGAGAGGTAGAAATTTGAAGAAACTGAGCTTCAGGCTTTCTTCAAATTTGATATCCTTGACTCCCTAAGGAGTCTCACCTGATGTTTTGTTGCTAAAGGACCAGATTAGTATGGTGAGAATGATTTGATGTGATTAGATTCAATTTGATTTCTCATTTGACTTGAGAATTGATTTAGCTTCACTCCTCTAATGCATACCTTTCAGTGAGTACACTTGATGGGACTGCAGCACAGAGGACAAACTCTGACCTCCACTTGCCAAAGCTTTTACAAATTTTGGGTGAATCCAGGACTGGTAAAATAGCCATAACACAATTGTAAGGGCAGATTAATCCTGAGAGAAGTTTTGTGTGACTGAAAAACAATTATTTTGGTATGCCACTGGTCCAAGAAAAAAAAAAAAAATCCAAGGTTCAAGGAGCTTTGTGATCTAGTGGGGCAAGAATATAAACAAGGCAACGTACCTGGGAATGAGAGAGCCATAATGAGAGGGCTGAGCTGAATAAGCAATGTGGTCAAAATAAAAATAAGCTCACCCATGTTGAGAAGGCAGTTGTAGACTTACATGAATCAAGGGAGCAGTATTCTGCGCTGGTGTGATGTCCTAGGAAGAAGAGCGTCACAAACCCAGACATGAGAGGCTGTGTTAGCTGCACATGGTGGCACATGCCTGTAACCCAAGTACTTTGGGAGGCTGAGGCAGCTCAGTGCTACCCCTGGGTTTAATTCTTAAAAAGGAAGAAAGAAGTTGAAGGAAAAAAAGGAGGCGACTGTGGTGGTTGAAGTCAGTAGGGCGTGGGAGGCAGCTACGCATTCATGGTAGCACTGAAATATGCGCACGTAGACCACACACAGCATTTCTCCTGCTTAGGAACCACTCCAGGAACCCAGAGAGAGCTGCTCCCTGGGGAGTAGAACTGGGGCAGAGAACCAAGGTCCAAGAAAATCTTTTCTAGTGGAACAAGGTAAATTCCCTATCTCCTGTTTCCTACTACACAAAGTAATTTTGGTCAAAAGTGAGAGATGGTCACCAAAGCATATCAGGGGGATTTTTTTCTTTTTTCTATGAAGGTCTGAACTGAAACCACCATTAGTTTCCTTTTGGAAAATTACAAGTTCTCCCACTGATCATGGAACAAATAACTAATGGGACTCTAGGGAACTTTATTTTTCTAGGCACTTTCAAGCTTAATTGCAAGATCTTCATACATCCATGGGGTTATCTTTAGATTCTAAAAATAGATTAATTTTCTTTGGCTACTTAAGGATATATGCAACCCATATATGCAACAAGGCTCTTTTTCTATAAGAGCCTTGAGAAATCAGGTAAGGCAACTGCCAATCTCCATCATGAGGCATTTTTACTTTAGTAGTATAATATGGAATATCTCATTATTAAAGCACAAACATGCCACCAACTAAATTTGTCAAAGCCTTTTGTTTCTGCTCCTTCCAATTCCATACACACAGATCCTACTTGAAGGAACATATGAGATGTGCCATGTACCAACAGGACAGACTTCTTTGCTGCTAGAAGATAGGGCCAACCTGGGGCCATGCTCTGAGAATTACCTTATCTCTCTCAGCCACCTGTGTGTCATGAAGAAGTGCGACAGCTAGACTCTCACAGAAAGGCAGTAAATATTTTTATCACATTACTTACATTAAATATTAGTAAATATTTAGTGCTTTAATACATGACATTGTGTGTTAACATGTAACATTCTAGTCTTCCAAACTTAATGAGGCCTTATTTTCCTTTCTAAATTCATTTTACCCTCAAGATAGTTTAATATCTCCTGCAGAGAAGATGGTAAAGAAAGCTTTCTGGTGACAATTTAACTTACTTTGCACCAATAACTTTCATTTATTTATTTTTGGCACTGCTGGGGAATTGAACCCAGGCCCTAACATGTGAGCAGTCTACTGTGAGCTACATCCCAGCCACAGTGATAACTGTAAATAGTAATCCTACTTCCAGTAATTTCTGCTCATAATCAAAAATGCCAAGATAGATGCTTGAGAATGTTCATTGTAATAGTTTAAAATAGTACATAAAATGTTAGCTAACGTGGGAATAAAACTATCACACAACTATTTAGAGTGTCATTTCTGGTATTTAATGTAATAATGAAATGCTTATTTTAAAAAATGCAGGATTTAAAATTAGCTGTAGTATTATTCCAATTTTTTTTTTTTTTTTTTGCTGCTGCTGAGATAGGGTCTTATTCTGTAATTCAGGCTGGCCTTGAAGTCACTATGTAGCCCAGGCCGGTCTCAAATTCAGTGATTCTCCTGCTTCAGCTTCCCAAGTGCTGGGGTTACGGGTATTCACCACCATTCCCAGCAACCAAATTTAAAAAATAAACAAACATATATTTAACAATTTGCATGTATAGAATTAAGTCATAGCACAAAATGATTTTTATGAAGAATTGATTTTCTTCTTTATATTTTTACATGACTTCGTTTCTCATTTTAGGGACCAGCAAGATAGCTCAGCAGTCTAAAACAGTTTGACCCCCAGCACCACATGCTCTGCCAGCCCTACTCTCAGCGTGGGCTGAGCGGGCCAAAAAAAAAAAAAAAAAAAAACAACTTAACCAGCTTCTCATTTTATACATATTTTTTTCTTAAAGTGCCAGAGATGGGCCAGGGAGACAGCTTAGTGGCTTACGTGCCTGCCTGGCAAGCACAAGGGCCAGAGTTAGGTCCTCAGTAAAAAAAAAAAAAAGAGCCAGAGGTAAAGAAAACCACATTTTTCTTTGGTAGTGCTTAATATTGAACTCGACCTTATGCCCACTAAATTTACATGTCTTCTACCACTGAGCTGTGCTCCCAGCCCCAGGAACTATTTGAAATATCCATCATGTGGCAGACCGAGCTAGAATCCACCACAGCAATTGCGAGGTAGGTATCTCAGTCCCAATTCTACATCTGAGCTCAGGCTGTGCTACACAGCCAACTTGCCCAGGGTGCCTGGATTCACGCCCAGGCAATGCCCAAGTTCCCTGCTGCACCACTTGCCTCAGCTGCTGCGGCTCCTGGCGGGCCCTTGGGAGGCTTACAGCATAGATCACCAAAGAGAGCTGTGTGCAGCTTAGCCAAGAGTATGGCTTTATTTTCCTTTCTAAATTCTTCATTTCCCCTCCAAAAGTAGCAACCTCTTCCTCCTAGGATAAGAAACAGTCTTCTTTGTGGCTGAGACCCAAGGTTCTATACTAAAGCATTTTGCTCCACATGCCCAGCTCCACACACCTGTGCCCTCTCAGAGCCCATTTCCTCACTGTCCTGCTTATTGCTTTGGCACTTTGTCAGGCTTTGAACAGAAGGACAGGGCAGAACTGCACACCCCCACCCCCTTCCAGCCAGCTGGCTCCTTGGTCTCTTCCCTGGATACTAAAACAAACAGGCTGTGCGCTCTGGCTCTCTACTCAAACCAACGGGGGGTGGGGGCACACACAAATATCCCAGCTATGTTAACAATCAGAAGAGTATCCGGCAGCAGATTTGATCTGTAACTTTATTTCAGCCAAACAGTGCTTCTCAGCAGCCAAGAGCCTTGGCACACCCTAAGCCTTAATGCTCAGCAGGGTTCCTGGTACTGTCTTGGTGAGGCCTGCCCAGCTCCCAAGCTGGTTCTGTTCCAGATGGGTTCCCAGCAACAAACTGTAACCCTTGTGAAGGAGGCAGAGGTAGAATGTATCACTACTGGGTTAAGAATTCTTCATTCATTTCCTGTTTCTTCCCAGAGACAGACAGGAAGTTACTAGGATGGGGTCACAGCAAGTCAGATATTCAAGACCAAAACTTGCCACCAAATTCATTCTCCAGCACCACAGCTCATAATACAAACTAGGCTAGGCGTGCTGATGCAGGCCTGTAACCCTGACACTCGGGAGGCTGAGGCAAGAGGATTACCTTGAGTTTGAGGCCTGCCTGGGCTACATAGTGAGTTTGAGTCTACCCTGAACTACATAGAGACCCTTTCTCAAAACATATAAATGCATAAATAAATAAAATTAAAAAGGTTAAAAACTAGAAGTAGCTAGGAAGTTTTATCTAGGAAGAAAAGATGGCGCGTGGCACATGACAAAGTAACAGTAGGAATGATATGGTCTTTTTTTATTCAATCTTTCTGCACCCACAGAAGAGGATTAAAATCTGAAAAATACTAGATTAAATAAAGTTAAACAGTATGTTACTGATGGATTTCTAAGAACCTTTAGTGTGCTAATGCACACTGTGAAGAGTTCAGAATGGAAGTGTTTTTTAAATACAGTCAACTGCTGGACATGATGGTGCACACCTGTAATTCCAGCACTTGGGAGGCTGAGGCAGGAGGATTATTGAGTTAAGAGATCAGCCTGCGCTACAAAGTGAGAGGTCAACCTGAACTGCAAAGTGAGACCCTGTTTTAAAAACTCAAAAAACAAACAAAACAAAAACCAGTCATTTGGGGCTTGGGAGATAGCTCAATAGAATAAGCACTTGTCCGGCAAGTGCAAGGGCCTGAGTTCAATCCCCAGTTCCACAAAAAAAAGTCACCTGTAACAGGGCTTCAGTGAACAAGCTTTGTGAAGCATTGCTCCAGGACGAGCCCACTGGACCTGATCCAGGGAAGTAAAGGCAACCACAGGGCTCCTCACCTGTAATCCTAGCACTCAGGGTGGGTGAGGCAGGAGGAGCACAAGTTCAAGTCCTACTTGGGCAACTTTGTGAGACCCTGTCTCAGAACAAAAGGACCGGACATGTAACTCAGTGGTAGACTGCCCCTGGTTTGATTTCCAACATAACAAAGAATGAAGGAACAGACGAAAGAAAAAGAGAAGATCCTACTAGTCAGCAGCCTGTCCTCAGCACTACCTACAACACTATCTTAAAAACTGCAGTGCTATAACAAGGTTATCATTCGGCAGTCTCCTGCCTGTACTTCAGTGTGGGTTTATGGTATTTTTCCACTTGCTGGTCAAACCTCCTGGAAGAGAACCCTGAGTGGAAAAAGTTCACTGGAGTGAGAAGGTATTTTAGTGCCAGGTCTCTGGATTCAGCAGTGAGAAAAGCAGCAGCACTGCCCCTGGGAAATGGGGGAAAGTCATGATCCATCCAGGCACTTTGGTTTCCTGGGACTGTGGGGCCCTTATTGTCTCCCTTAGGTATCAAGGGGGACCCTAGGCCTAGTTCCTCTGTAGTTTCTGGACAAAGAAAGTCTTCATCTGAAGATCCCCGTGGGGCAGTCAACACAGTCACAGTCTTCTGGGACTCACAGAAAGGGATGTCTTCATCCCCTTTTCTGCCGCAGAGATCTGAGAACAACTGCTTCCTGACCCTCAAAGGATGGAAGGAGGACTGCTTTTGACAGTCTCTAGGCGAAGGAGAAAGGCTTTCCTTCTTGGTCTTTGAGTCTCTGTCAGCTTGAGATTTGTCATCATCTTCCTGAGGAGATTCAAACACAACACCTTGGATTCTGGGCCTCTTTAACCTCTTTTCTAACAGCCAGAGAAATGCTGGCTTCTCAGCGGAGGAGCTCATGTACTGTCGCACAGAGTCTGGGATCAAGGGAGTGGGGAGCAGGGGACTCAGACTACCCTGAAAGTTCCCACAGGGCTGTCGGCTGACGATGGGCACCACTCGGCACGGCTTCAGCGCTGCCACGAAGGCACAGAGCTCAGAGTAGGAGGAATGGTCAGAGTAGGGGACGATGTGGATGCCAGGGTGGGACCTGTGGATGCTCCGGCTTGTGGGAAGGATGGCAATGGTAGGCTGGGTCTGGTTCCAACGCAGCATGGCGGAACGGCAGATCTCCATGTGTTCCACAGCGTGGATGCGGCCGGCCTTCTCTTCCACCGTGAACACATCTGCCAGGCCCAGCAGCTGCACCAACTCCAGGCGCTGAGGACTCAATACCACCCAGGTCTGGAACTCCAGGGCCAGCTGCTCCAGCAGTGCCTCCTTTCCCAAGCTATAGAGCCCTGAATAATGTGAAAGGGGTTGGGGAAAGTAAAAGAAGAAAATGAGGCTGCTGGAGAATCCTAACGAAACATGCAGGATTCATGGGTCACTCCGGGAGTGTATTAGTGAAGCAATCGTACCTCAGCTGGGCTACATGAAGGAGGACAAGCAACAGGGACACGCAGAATCTACTCATTCACTCAGCTCAACAAAAAAAAGCATCTGCCAAGTATTAGGCACTGTGAGAATGAAAATAAATCTTTTAAACAATAAAAGAAGACCCAGCCCTCCAGGAATGCCATCTATTAGCTTTCCCAGAAAATGAGACCTACCCTGAAAATAAGCCCTAGCATTTTTTAAAAAAGAATAATCATAATATAAGCCCTGCCCCCCAAATAAGCCCCAGCGATTATGGTCATCAGCCAGCCAGACACATTTAGTATGTCTACTGTAACACATAATTCAATATATCATGTTGAACTACAAAATATTAATATATAAATATAAATAATGACAGTACTTCTTAAAATACACAATAAGCTATAATTATTTGGAAATACCCAAGTGGGAAACTGTGGATGAGAGACGAATGCCTATATAAACAGATGAACTCAAAACTTACTGCCAAGGATCAACTGGAATACAGATACAACAATCACATAACATGGGCACTGATAACGAACAGACGTGGCTATGTTGAATATGAATCTATGTAAATCAAGTGTATTATAACAGATGTACTTGTGTGAAGAGACAACGCACTGTGTGAAATACAGAGATGTTTTCAGATTTTTGTCTTATTGAGACAGGGTCTCACTCTGTAGTTCAGGGGGCCTTGAGCTCACTCTGTAGCCTGATCTGGTCTCAAACAAACAATGATCCTCCTGTCTCAGCTTCCTGAGTGCTGGGATTACGCATGTGAGCTATCACGCCAGGCTGTTTTCTGAATTTTGGTGCCTGAAATTTCTTGCTGCTTTTGTGTGGACCACCATTCTTTTTCTTCTTCTTTTTTGTTTTTGGTATTAAGAATCAAACTCAGTTAAAAAAAAATTAAAATAAATAGATTAAATAAAAATTTAATAATAATAATAATAATAACAATAATAAAAAGGCCAGCCAGATAGCTCAGAGGATTTTTTTTTAAATTTTTATTTATTATTTATTTATTTAATTTATTTATTTTTTTTTTGTGTGTGGCCAGTTCAGCCCACCAGGGGGCGGGGCTGGCTGGCATGTGGTGCTGGGGATTGAACCGTGGTCCCTGTGCTTTTGCTTAGCTTGTTCTAAGTAGATGCTTTAGACCACTGAGCCATCTCACCAGCCCAGCTCAGAGGATTAAAATGCCTGCTTAGCAGATGCAGGGACTGGGGTTCAATCTCTGGTGTGCGTGCTGGCCCTACCCTCTAGGCGTGCTGAGACGGTGATTGAGACTGGGCATGGTGGTGTGCTTGGGAGGCTGAAAACAGGAGGATCACTGAGTCTGATTTGTATAGTGAGATCCTGAAGACCCTGTACTAAATACATGAAAATCGACCAATCAATCAATCAATCAATCAGTCAAGCTAAGGACCTTTGCTTGCCAGGCAGGTGCTGTGCCACTGAGCTATACCCCTGGCCCTGGACCACCATTATTAATTGTCATCATTTCTATTGCCACCCTTGTCTCGTAAGTCTTTAATTAATACTTGATTTATGGAAACCTTATGAAAACCTAGCTTGCAAGAGGTCATGACTTGGGTGAAGAATTTATGGAATAAAATTATTGAAGCTATGTTGCCCATGCACCACAAGCAGGTTATGATGGTCAAGAAGGCTTATTTAAGGAGCACGCTACAGCTGGAGCTGAGAGACTGAAGCCAATAGTTCTACAGGGAATGGAGTTGCACGAAATTTAAGGCAGAATTTGAGGTCTTGGGGTTATGACGATGCTCTACAAGATTGTCGACATGACTGTATTTGAATAAATGTAGAGCTCTGTATATGAAAAAATAAGATATCCCCTGAAAATAAGCCTATTGTGACTTTTGGAGCAAAAATTAATGTAAGACCTGGCCTTATGTTGGGGGAGATATGGCCCATTCAGACCCAGAATGAGTGCTTTAAGGGCAATATTCAACATATACACACAGTGTGATAAGAGCACAAAAGAGTAGCCACCACTGATAGAATTAGGGAAAATTTCTCAAAAATAGCAGCTGAGCTAAGGCTTAAAAGGATGGATTAATCTTGGCAAGAGAAGTTATGCTGGAGAACATGTTATGAGGAGCCCCTTCAGTGTTCCTAAGGAAGAGACTGGTGAGAAGTGACATCAGAGACGTAAATCACTACTAGAGGGCATTGCATGTACTGCTGAGGAAGGGGATTTAATAGTAACAAGGGGAATACAGGCTGGGAAGATAGCTCGGCAGTCTAAGTGCCTGCCTGGCAAGCGCAAGGATCCAGGTTTGATTCCCAGTACCGCATGCCATGCCAGCCCTGCCCTGGCCCACTGAGCAGGCCACTGAAACCGGGCATGGTGGTGCACAGCTATCATCCTGGCACTGGGGAGGCTGAGACAGGAGGATCTGTGATTTCAAGGCCAGCCTGTACTATACTGTAAGACCCTCCCTCAAAAAACAGAACAAGACAAAATAGAAAAAGGAAATAGAGATGTGAATTTGGGTAATGGATATGGTGACAAACAGGAGGTTTTTATTTTACTTTTTAAATTAATTTATTTCTTTATACACATAACTGAAAGTGATAATTACAGTTTCTTAATACTTGTTCTTAGATGTTTTCTGCACTCTATTTCAAATCCTCAAATTGTGAACTCTTTAAAAAGAACATAATTTGTTTTATATCTACTTTACTCTGGAATATGGTTCAAATCTTCTGTCTTTAGGCACAAATTTAGCAGATCTCCTGTGCATCCCCATTTTCCTTGGCTCTAAGTCCTTACTGGACTCTAAACCCTCAAAGTCAGAGATCGTACTTCGTTAACTTCTCTATCCCACACCTACTGGCTACTTTGTACTAGTGGGGCTTACATATATTTGCCAAATTAATCAAGTCCTACCAAAGCACCCTCCTAGTCAGCCTTGGTCCTCTGAAAAATGTCTGCATTGAAAATTTCAAAAATGGTTAGGGCTGATATTTTCCCATGAGCAATTAAGCAATCCTGAGAGTAAGGAATACTTCTCAACCCAATTTGATAACCACCTTGGAAGGTGTATAACCTATTAAGTTATGCTTGTGATACATAATAATTCCATTGATCTTGGAGAAATGGCACAGATTGCATCTTCATTTTCTTTTACTTTCCCTATCCCTTCCCACCCTTCCATTATAATTTTTTTCAGCATTTTTATTTAACCTCATTTTGAAACTCCTTTCAGAGTTGACAACTTTTTTTTTGGTACCAGGGATCGAACTCAGGACCTTGTGCTAGGCAGTTTGGTGCTTATGCCTCTGAGCCATCTCCCCAGTTCAAGAGTTATGCCTTTTTAAAGTATTCATAATCGTTCCTTTGTGTGGACTTATAATTTTGGAAACAACAAAAAACAAAACACCACCTAGAACTGAATGTTATATTTTTAAAAACAAAAAATGACTTTCACAAACTAACTCTCAAAAAGACAACTCCAAAAGAATCTCCAGTTTTTTAAACTGTACAGGTAAGTGTATCCAAGGCCTTCACACTGAGCTACACCCCCAGTCCTTTTTACTTTAAGATAGGGATTTTTTTACTTTATTTATCCTTTCCACCTTTCTTTTTTTACATGGTACCAGGGATCGAACTCTGGACCTTGTGCTTGCCAGGCAGGAAGTTAGGCTGCTGAGCTATATCCTTGGCCCTTAAATCATTATTGCTTTGTTTTTATTTTTGTCTTTTTGAGTCAGGATCTTGCAATGCAGTTCAGGCTGGCCTTGAGCTCACTTTGTAGCCCAGGCTGGTCTCAAACTCTCAGGGATCCTTTTGCTTCAGCCTGCCAGTGGTGGAGTGCTGGGATTATAGACGTGCACCACCACACCTGGCTTAAACACAGGGTCTTGCTAAGTCACTAAATTAACCAGGCTGTGCTCAACCTTGCAATTCTCCCATTCATCCTTCCAGACTTAAATCACAGGACTGCACCACCATGTCTGCTTTCCCAAAATGTTCCTTACTATTGTGGAATCAGTACAAAAAGCAAACAGCTGGCTTTTGTTGTTATTTATGTATTTGGTATAGGGTCTCATTACACAGCTTGGACTCCTGAAACAGCTGTTTTCTTAGTGTATCTAATTTAAAGCATAACACTCATCTTTGTTCTGATAAATTTCATTCATTCTTATAACAATTTACTGAATAGTTCTGGGTCAGGAAGTAATTAACATGAGAATTTAACCACAACAAAGCACAGACTTTTGTCATGGTGAACTTATATTCTACCATGGGGAGACAGACAAAAAGTAAACACAACCAAGATGTCAATTGTGGAATACACTCTAGGGTGACAGTAACAGTAATGACTCTCTTCTACTTAAAACTCTTCAGCAAGTCCTCCCTGGGTTTAGGACCAAGTTCTTGGCAGCAAGCTGAAAGCCAGCCCCTTCTGCTTCCCAGCCTATTGTGCACCTGTCACACTGGATGCCACTTCTCCGCCTCACAAAAACACAAAGCTTCCTCCTACTTCCATCTATAAAGTCACAGAGTTTACATCTGTGTCTGTACATGTACACACCTGGGGAAGTACAGGACAGTCAGTAAATAAACAACAACAAAACAAAAATGTATAAAGCTAGGTGTCGGGGCCAGGGAGATAGCTCTGTAGAATAAGTGCTTCCCTGGCAAGCGCGAGGACCTGAGTTCAATCCCTGGTTCTGCAAAAAAAAAAAAAAAAAAAAAAAGCTGGGTGTCATGACACATACCTATAATTCTAGCATTTGGAAGGCTAAGACAGGACAATCCAGAGTTTAAAGCTAGCCTGGACTACATAGCAAGATTCTCTCATAAACAAATACATAAATAAGTAAATAGCTGGACATGGTGGTGTATGCCTGTAATCCAAGCACTCAGAGGCTGATGCAGGAGAACTCTTAGGGCTCAGTGAGTTCAGAGCCATCTGGAACTACATATTGGGACCCTGTCTTGACGTCTGCCCCCCATAAATAAATATAAAGACTACAGGGAGATGATAAGTACTACAAAAGACGAAAAGGTTAGAATGACACAGGGAGTCAGGAACTGGAAATGTAGAAGTGAGGATGGTGGTCAGGCTACAATTTTTTAAATAAGGTGGTCAGGGTAGGTTTTATGGAGAAAAGAGATGCACAAAGAATTGGAAGATGTAATAACCCTCAATGAACCAGATTAGCTAGCTACTGGTGAGAAAAAAAAGGAAATAAACTCACCTATCTTTATGTTATGTTGTGGGTGCCTTCGAATGAGCTGGATAATTTGTTGCGCAGCTTCTTGTCGGGAAGGAAGAACCAGGGCTGGGTTGCAATTGGTATTGTCTAAATATAAAGTATGGATCTGCTTCCCTACTGCCAGGGCTGGCTCCTTTAGCATAGATGGTGTATATCGAAAATCACCTGGAAGAATATTTCAGGGGGAGGCAGAGGGTCAGAGACAAGATTGGAAAAAAAAAAAGTCTCTCCCATCTCCAACAATGATAGTTATTTGCTTTGTGATCTGTAGAAAAACTATTATGTTGTGGGGCACTGTGGGGCATGCCTGTAATCACAGCACTCTGGAGGCTGAGGCAGGAGGATCACTGTGAATTCGAGATCAGCCTGGGCTACAAAGTGAGCTCAAGGCCAGCCTGAACTGCACTGTGAGAGCCTGCCTCAAAAGACAAAAATGCATGCAATACAGTTTCTTTGTGGAAATGTATTCAATCTGCTCCTGTTTTTAATTCACACTCTGTACAAGGTTTGGACAGTCAGCAACAGGAAATCAGTTGAAAAGGATCACTGTGCTTCTCTGGGGTGCAGACAGAAGGGCTTCAGACTTCTTCTATGAGTGAAGGCTGCTCAGAGTTGCACCTTAACTGGAAAGTGGGAGGGAAGCCTTGCGAGGCCCACCTGTATAGAGGATGGTTCCAAAGTATCCTTCAAAGAGAAACATGACAGAACCAGGGCAGTGATTGGCATCAATGAGAGTTACAGTCATGGTCTCTCTTCCAGCTTCATCTAGAGGCAACACATGGCTCTCGCCAACTTCCAGGGCTCGGATCCACTGTTTAGAGACCTGGGAAAACAGCTGGTTATCCCAGTGGCCACGGACACCCACCCTGCAGGGTCAGGAAGTTTACCTTTCTTTTCTGGCTCCCTATCCCAACCTTTATTCAGCTTTCAATTAAATTTTTGAAAACAGTCTCAACTTTTTTCCTGATCATAATAATCCCTTGGAAGCAATGGTTTTAAAAAGTTGTGGCCTGATTCTTAGGCCCGACAACAACCATATTTACTGAGTGTGGGATGGGGGGGTGGGGTGGCGGTGAACAAGGGCTGAGAATCTAAATTTATTCAACACATTGGATGAATTCCATTTAGCGCTAGGGTTCAACCCGAAGGCTTTGCACAGGCTAGGCAAGCATTCTTCCACTATGTCACACCCCCAGCCTAAATGGATTTTTTAAGGCAAATTTGAGAAACACTGTTCTAAGGGTAAGTGAGGAGGGATAATTCTCCCGGCTAAACTCAGTGATCTTCCCAGCGCAGCGCTAAAACACCTCCAGTAGGTCGGTTGGAAGTCACACTCCTATTCTGAGCTAAAGATGCAAGTCCCGGCTCAAGCAGTTTCTGGATCTGTCAAAGCCCATCCTCCCAGAGCCCACTCGGTGACTCCAGGACACAGCCTGTAAGTTCCCACTCGAACGTCGGGCCCGCTCTCCAAGGCCCACTGAGGCCGGTACCTGCAAGTGACGACGCAGGAGGTGGGCCGAGACTGGGGAGCAGTAGAGGGGTCGGGCCCACGTGCTGGACAGGCCCACCGTGTGGTCCGAGTGCATGTGCGTCAGGAAGAAGAGCCGCGCGGCCCCAGCCCGGCGCAAGCTCCAGAAGTCCACAGCAATGGGCGTGTGGGGGATCAGGACCCCGTTCATGGTGGCGCCGTTGGAGTCACCGGTGGGATCTCCGCGGGGCCGGGGCTTCCGCGTGAAGATTCCACAACGGCGCCCCAGGAAACATGCCGGGGCAAGAACCAGACTAGGGAGCTCCCAAGGAAAGCCAGCTCAGCAGCGGACTAAAGCGCTAGGTGGGCAGGGAGGAGGAAGCGGCCGGCCCCGGGCGGCCGGCGGCGGCTGAACCGCGCCTCGCGGAAGGCGCCCACTCCGCGCCACTCCCACCGCGCGGGCAGCGCAGGCCGAGCCGGCAGTCAAAGCGCGCGCTGCTGGGCGGAGACAGGCGCGAGTAGCCGATCCCCGATCGCCCGCCGCAGCGCCTCCGGATTGCGCGGCTGCGCCCCGAGGTGAGCGATTGGGGGAAGGGCACCCTAAGGTCGAGGCCTGGGCCGAGCCCCACGGTGGCAGCGAGGGTGGCAGCGGTGGCGAGAGGGCTCTCGGCGAGCGGGCGGGACTTCCGCCGAAAGCGCGATTGGGCCCCTCGGTGACTGCGGCTGCTCCGGGCGGCGGAAAGGCTGGCCCGGGAGAGGGAGGGGTCCGTGGGCTGCCGGCGGCCGGGTGGGAAGTCCGCGCGGGGCTGAGCGCCCGCGAGCTCTGTGGGCGGGGCGAGCAGCCCGCCGGTCTAAATTTAGGGTCTGCAGGGCTCCGCCGAAAAGAGGGGGTAAAGTGTGGGTGTCGGAGCGAACAGATTCCGGCCCTGAAGGACCCCGGGCTGCGGCGAGAGCGCGCCTCTGGCCTTTTCGCTGACCCGCATTTCCTTTACCCAGGCTCCGCCTCGGGACCAGAAGGAGCCTGCGAGCTGCCCAGGATCTGTGGGGGCTGCCCCGTGACCGTGGGAGAGGATGCCGTACCTCGGCTCGGAGGACGTGGTGAAGGAGCTGAAGAAGGCTCTGTGTAACCCTCACATTCAGGCTGATAGGTTGCGCTACCGGAACGTCATCCAGCGAGTGATTAGGTATCGCCCGCCTGGCTTAGCGTCCCCCCCCCCCCGACCCCCGCCCGCCTTGCAGTTTCCATCAGCTCTGCACCCCAAGACAGCAGATGAACTTTCCCACCAGGTCTTAGCCTGCTCCTCCGAGAGGCTATCTCGGGCTCTCTTGTGGAATCTTTTACTCACTTGAGTGGTTTCCTTTATGTCAAGAGCTGGAACAATTGCACACAGTGCTGACTCTTGGATCTATGATATTATCTAGCATAGATCTCTGTTTGTAGCTTCAGACCCATAAATCCTGCTGTCTGCTTGGCATTGTCACCTGGATAGTTCATCAAAGGTACAGCAAAAATAGTACCAGCGTTTTGCCCTCCTCCCCAAACCTGTTCTTCCGCTTGTGTTGGTGTTGCCCAATGTCACCCAGCCAGCCTTCTAAGCATGCCAGTCAGCCCTGATGACACCTGATCCTTCACTTCTCACGTCAGATGGTATGAGTAATTCCAGATATCCTCTCATTTTTTTATCCGCTCTTTTTTTTTGGCACTTTTGGTTCATACTTAAAGCCAACTGGTAGCTTAATAGTAGGTCACCGTGCCTGTAGAATTCATTTAGAATTTTTCCATTACTTAGATCTGAATACACAACTTGTGCTTATAACCCTTGAGCCTTGAGGTGCAGTATTATTTATTTATTTATTTGTTTATTTTATTTATTTATTTTGAGGCAGGGTCTGGCTACATAGTTCAGGCTGGACTTAAACTCACTGTGTAACTCTGGCTGACCTGGAACTCACAGCAGATCTCCAGCCTTAGCCTCCTGAGTGCTGAGCTCATAGGTGTGCACACCCTGCCTGGCTGATGTGCCTTTTTTTTTTTAAATGCAATTCCTCAATTGATTCTGATTTCAGTTGGGTGAGATGGAACATAGGATTCTGTGCCTTTAACAAACACCTCATTAGAATTTAGATTCACAATTTGAGAAACAGTAATCCACAAAATACAGTCCAAACTTCTTACCCTTCATCCTAGGATCACACTGTTAATTCAGCTGCCTGTAAATTCTCAAAAGAATGTTCTCTTCTTGCATCTACAGGCCTAATAGCATACATCATTAACTGTCACATCTGCTTGGTAAGCTTCCTGGTCATTCAGTGAAAGTATTACTGATGTGAAGAAATATTTTTTGATTTCTCTGGGGGGTTGGCCCTTTGGGTCCCCACTATATCTGGGACATTACCCCTGATTAAATACTTACCTAGTGTATTGTAATTTGTGGTGTTCTTCTCTGGCTCTTTAATTAAGTTCCTAGAGATCTGGGACTCTATTCTTCAGGATTATTTCTCCAAGCATATTTTTGGAATGTGAAAAGTGAATTTCATTGAGATGCGCTGGGGATTCAACAAGTGGTGAACAAATAAAAGAAGAGAATTTATTACATGCTTGTGGTGTTTAGTATTGTGTCCTGTAATAGACAGGATAGACCTAGTTGCACCCCTATAAGAGATCCCAAGCTAATTAGATAAGTGGAGCATGTATAAGTAAATGTTCTTCCATCATAGGTTGAAGGTGTTGTATTTTATTTCTTCTTGCATTGTCTTTCGGTTTCAGGCACATGACTCAGGGCTTGGACATGTCTGGTGTTTTCATGGAAATGGTGAAGGCCAGTGCCACTGTAGATATTGTGCAGAAGAAGTTGGTTTATCTGTACATGTGCACGTATGCACCTCTGAAGCCAGACCTAGCTCTCCTGGCCATCAATACACTGTGCAAAGACTGCTCGGACCCTAACCCGATGGTGCGAGGGTTGGCGCTGCGGAGCATGTGCAGCCTCAGGTGAGCACCCTCTGCCCTGCCTGCTCTTCAATGATGAAGGTTTCCAATGACGACAATTTAAGCTCCTTAATATTGAGGAAAACACTTTTGTACATGAACTCAGATTTTTAGCCATTATTTTGGCTTAGTAGACTGTATCATGTGGTTTTGGGGTTTTTTCTTGTTTTTTAAATTTATTTTAGTTAGTACATGTTTGTAATATATAGCGATTATATTCATCATGGGGAATTGCTGTATGTACAGAGACATCTTAAGTTTTCTTTACATCCCTTTTTCATCTTCTCTTATATGGTGCTATTAAAAGGAACATTCTTTTTTCACTCTTGATAGAATAGTCCTTGGTTTTGTTTAAAGATTTTTAACCAGTTACTACTATAGCAATTTTTTTTTAATTTTTATTTATTTATGTGTGTGTGTGTGTGTGTGTGTGTGTGTGTGCGTGTGTCCGTCCAGCTCAGTCCACCAGGGGGCGGGGCTGGCTGGCATGTGGTGCTGGGGGATTGAACCGTGGTCCCTGTGCTTTGCGAAGCTTGTTCTAAGTAGGTGCTTTAGACCACTGAGCCATCTCACCAGCCCCTACTATAGCAATTTTTGATGCCTATGCAGTGTTATTCCATATGAAAAGGCAAGTGATGGTCTTTAAAGTGTAATAGAGGCTTTTTGCTAAGTCCTTGTGATCTGATAGATGTCCATTCACAAATCTATTGAATACTCTTGCTATATGCAGAGGATCTTAATTATGTTAAAACCAGCATTTCAGGATCTGACTGACTCCAGGGTCTGTTGCTTAGGATGCCTGGTGTGCAGGAATATACCCAGCAGCCTATTCTCAATGGTCTGCGTGATAAGGCTTCCTATGTCAGGAGAGTGGCAGTGCTTGGCTGTGCCAAAATGCATAACCTTCACGGAGACTCAGAAGTGGGTGAGTTCAATGTAATCCACTATGGTCAGTATTTACTCATGCCTTCATTATGTATCTGACTTTGTAAAAAGATATTGTTTGTAGCTTTGGTAGAAAATAGTACTGTGGCTTCATTTTGAATGTCACTAAGTAGGATACTAGGTTTGACATTTTCTGAGATTAGAGAAGTCCTTTTTGGGGGGCCCAAGTAAAATTCTTTCCATTAGAACAGCCTGGAGACAGCAAAGTTTCACTTTGTGCTTTTTTCTTTCAGTCATTTTTTGTTTTTAATTTCAATGTTCTTATCTTTTTCTCCACCTCAGTCTATGTGAAGGTAAGGTCCTACACTCTGTTATTGCTTTTAATTTTTTTTTTTTTTTGTAGCAGAGAAGTTACCTTTGTTTGCCTGGGACTATTTCTCGGGTTCTATCTCTGTAACTCTGAAGCTTTTCTTTATCTGAGATCTTTACTCTTCTTTATAGATGGTGCCTTGGTACATGAGTTATACAGCTTACTTCGGGACCAAGATCCAATTGTGGTTGTGAACTGCTTAAGGTCTCTAGAGGAAATTCTGAAACATGAAGGAGGAGTTGTCATCAATAAGCCCATCGCTCACCATCTCTTAAATCGGTTTGAATGCCTCAATGCTCTTTTTATTATGGTCTCTGTATCCTGGTAGGATCTTGTTGACATGTTGAATTAAGGAGAAGTGTTGGGCAGCTTGTCTAGGGTAGAAAAGAATGTTAACCAATTACTTAACATTTTTACATTTCATTGAGAGAATTTCTTTTATTTGCCTGAGTTTCTTTTAATATATAGAAATGGCAGAAACATTCTGCGGGGATAGGATATTCCCCTGCAGTTTTAATTAAACCATATATGGTTTCTTAAACTGTAGAGAATCTGGATCCAGTGTATGCTCATCATATGTAAACACATCTTGGAATTTAAAGGCTATTTTGTGTTGATTTTGCATAGTATGTCAAAAGAATTATTTGGTTATAGTATTTCCTATTTTTAAGAATTCTCACCTTGTGGCAAACAGCTGCCCGACACATGACTGTAGCATAGAGGCGGTCCTAATTTCGTTGGTGAAATAGTGTTTTTGTTTTCTTTCTTGGATAGAATGTCGAAATTGGACCAGTGGGGCCAGGCTGAGGTGCTGACCTTTCTGCTCCGTTACCAGCCCCGCAGTGAGGAGGAACTGTTTGACATTCTCAATCTGTTGGATAGCTTTCTCAAAAGTAGCAGTCCAGGTGTGGTCATAGGAGCCACCAAACTCTTTCTGATTCTGGCAAAAAAGTTCCCCCATGTACAGACTGATGTGCTTATGAGAGTCAAGGGACCTTTGCTAGCTGCTTGTTCTTCCGAGAGCAGGGAGCTCTGTTTTGTTGCTCTCTGTCATGTGCGCCAGATCTTGCACAGTTTGCCAGGGCACTTTAGCAGCCACTACAAAAAGTTCTTTTGCTCCTACTGGGAGCCTCACTATATCAAGCTGCAGAAGGTGGAGGTGCTGTGTGAGCTGGTGAACGATGAGAACGTGCAGCAGGTGCTTGAGGAGCTGAGAGGGTACTGCACTGATGTGTCCGTTGACTTTGCGCAGGCTGCCATCTTTGCCATCGGTAGGTACCTGCTGCTTTTCCTTCCTGCCTTCCTAGAGCAGTTAACTGGAAAGCTATAATTAGAGAAAGTGTAGAGGGCAAAAAAGGAATCATGTTTCAGAGATGAAATACCATATTACAAAGAATTGGATCAGTGATTACAACATGGAGGAAAGATTTTTTGTTTTATCTTTTCCAAGATAGAAAATACATGTAATTCAAACTATACTACTTAAAATTTATAATGTCTGTCTTAATATGCAATGTCTTTTGTTGTCTTCTATCCCAAATGCTTTCTTTTTCTCCCCCCAGTGCTTTTTATACATCACCTTACCATAGTCACTTATGTGAGGCAGTCAAGAAAAGATGTTATTGACTTCATTTTGGGTTCTTGTTTTGGTTTCTTTCTTTCTTTCTTCTTCTTCTTCTTTTTTTTTTTTTTAATGGCAGAACTGGGGATTGAACTCAGAACCTTGCACTTGTCAAGCAGGCGCTTATTCTACTGAGCTATCTCCTTGGCCCCTGGGTTCTTGTTTTTTGAGAAAAAGTCTCACTATATAGTTCAAGCTGGCTTTGAACTCATTATGTAGCTCAGGCTGGCCTTGAACTCATGGCAATCCTACCTCAGGCTCTTGAATTGTGGGGTTACAGGCATGTGCTAGCACACCTGGCTTATTAACTTCATTTTGAAGACACAAAAAGATCATACAGCTTCTGAAGCAGGCCTAGAACCTAGCTGTCCTGATTCAAAATCCTGTGTCAGTTCAACAGACATTTATTATGACCTTTGTGTAGACTCAACACAGAATAATTCCTAAATCTTGTAACTTAAAAGGCTGGCGTGACTCAAAAATGAAAGCAGCTGGGGAGTTGTTTTTGAGGGCTTTAAGGAGGAAGAGCCCTTGTATTTGAAATAAAGTATGGTTATGAGGCGCAGAGAAGAGAAAGGCAAGAGGAGAGAACAAATCCTGTGGTAGATGGGCTGCTGCCAAGTTTCCCCAGAAGAATATCCCTGTGTGGGTGTACTGTAGCAGAAAGGGTGCCTCAGCTCTGGCTCGTAAATGCCTTGTTTGATGGAAGATTCTTTTTCCATGAATATGTTTCAAATTTTTAGTGTCTATTGAATTTGTGTTTTTATCAGTTGCCATTAGATTCTTATTTTATTGAGTAACGAATGGTTTGGTTTTGTTTGTTGTGTTTTGGGTATCTCTGATTGTCTTTGTCTTTGATAGGAAATGATTTTCACGTGAAATGCTCCTATCTGACTGAACAGTTCTTTACCTTTCTTTCCTCCATAGGAGGCATTGCCAGGACTTACACAGATCAGTGTGTGCAGATTCTCACAGAGTTGCTGGGGCTCCAACAAGAGCACATTACCACAGGTAATGAATAGCTTTCTAGAGTTCCTTTTGTTCCTGGCCTGTGGGGTAGTTGCTCACAAATTTTTTGTTCAGTGAATAATATAAAGTTTTAATCTTTTCTTTGCATTATCATCTGATGCTATCAGAGAAATATAGGATTTGTAGATGTAGTAGGGTAGAGTCTTCAGGCTCTCGTGAGTTGACAGGCCATATGATAGATAATGAAGGTACAGGATGACTGTGCTTGTTATCTCCCCATCTTTAGCCCCTGCCTTTTTTCCCTCTGTCACAGTTTATTCTAGGCAGTTGCTTCTGGGCCTAGAACTTGGGTGAGGCAAGTACATTGCCTACCGTGCAAAATTTAGGAAGGTACTCACTGTTAGTGTCACACAGTTAACACTGTTTAAATTAAATTTTGCATCCTCAACACCTAATGTGCCTCAGTACATTCATTCCCAGTCCTGGTGGCTGATATACACTGTCTTCTGGGTGTGATTCAACAGCAGTACTGTGCATCATATTTGCAAAAAGCCTTATATTTTATAAAGAGGTTTTTCATATGTTAATTCATTTATGTCCTCATCAATCTGGTAAGAGTAACATTTAGGCAAGAAATTAGTGTACAGCTCGTACATTTCTGAGGTAATCAGTTGACCATCCATCAAAACCTGTTTTACAGAAATTCACCCCGAAATCTAGTCTGAATGCATGATTCTTCTTAAGATTCCTTCCTGCATGGAGGCTCTAATCCTGTCCTCTTGTGTCATGGGATGTATTGTAGTGGTGGTGCAGACTTTCCGAGACCTGGTTTGGTTGTGTCCTCAGTGTACTGAAGCTGTATGTCAGGCCCTGCCCGGCTGTGAGGAGAACATTCAAGACAGTGAGGTAGAATATTATTCTCTTTTGTTTGCAGGCAGATGGGGAATGTTAGGATCTGGCCTTCTGAAATAGACTAATTTTTCTTTGTACTTTGTCCCTGAAGAGATTCTTATGATTGATTGCACCTTGGATTTTCTTTTGAATGTAAATGGCATATAAATGATAAGAACAGGATTTATGTATATTTTTATGATAAATTCTTTGATACCATTGGCCTCCTGAACTACTTTGAGTCAGAGATCAAGACCATGAAGTTTTCAGCTAGAATGAGAATCTGAATCTTCCATCTGGGGAAGTTTTGCAAAAATTTGGGTTTCACCTAAAATCTCCTCAATTAAATATTAAGGGATGATGGACTTTCCATTTTTAAAACACTTCACAGATGGCTTCAGTGTGTAGCCTAGTGTAATAACTACTTTCATGAAGGCTTTAGACAAATTCATTCAGCAGCTTCTGCTGAAACATGAAATCTCAAATTGGGCCAGAGGCCCCATAGCTGAAAAGGCCTTACTTATTGCTTACTCAGTGTAGGTTATGAATGCTTTGAGTTTCCTCTTGAGCATTAGAACTTCATTCCTGTTTGTTACAGAGAGTGTAGTTGTGGGTGGGGTTGGGCACATGGGTAATAATGCCAGTTGAAATAAATAATAAGATTGTATCTTTTGTGCTGGCACTAGGGGAAAAGCAAAACTAGTCATTCTTTACTGTCTCCTACATGGGGCAGCCAAGGCTTGAGCTCCTGTTCCTGTTCTTCTGTTCCTAGGGGAAACAGGCGCTTATTTGGCTACTTGGAGTCCATGGAGAAAAAATTCCCAATGCTCCTTATGTTTTAGAGGACTTTGTAGAAAATGTGAAGTCAGAGACATTTCCTGCTGTTAAGATGGAGCTCCTTACTGCACTGCTGCGCCTGTTCCTCTCACGCCCTGCCGAGTGCCAAGATGTGCTGGGGCGCCTGTTACATTACTGCATAGGTAGGCCTTTGAGAAGGATGTAGTGCTTGGTGTGATCCATAGTACAAATTCTCACAGCCTTCAGTATGTGGGACCTGAAAAGAACATATCAATACTTGCTAGATTTACCCCTTCTTTCATTGTTCTTTTCTCCTATTATGGTTAAAATAGGAGGAGTGTTTTGTTTTAATTAACTCAGTCTGTTGATTTATCCCAGAGGAAGAAAAGGATATGGCTGTACGGGACCGAGGTCTCTTCTACTATCGCCTCCTTTTACTTGGCATTGATGAAGTTAAGCGGATCCTGTGTAGCCCTAAATCAGACCCTTCTCTCGGGCTCTTGGAGGATCAGCCAGAAAGACCTGTGAATAGCTGGGCTTCAGACTTTAATACACTGGTGCCAGTGTATGGAAGAGCCCGTTGGGCGACTATATTTAAACACCAGGGGACAGAGCACTGTGGCCCAGAGCTTCCTCATTCTGCACCCTTTGCTACATCAGGTAAAAATAATTCTTTTGCTATACCATGTCATGGTAAATCTTTGTCTTTGGCAGTGAGTGGTAAGTAGAGTACTTTAGCTAAATCAAATATCAACTGTCACGCAAACTTGAAGCCTTTGTGAGCCAGAAAGAAGTTCATCATTGGTTATTTAAGCTGTTTACCAAAGGACAGAAATCACACTGTACTTTTAGGAATATAGATTAACAGTGTAATTCGTGCAAATTAAGAACTTCTCTTTGGGGGCCCGGGAGATGGCTCAGTGGAATAAGCGCTTCTCTGGCAAGCACAAGGGTCTGAGTTCAATCCTCGGTTCTGCAAAAAAAATAAAAAGAAGAACTTCTCTTATACAAGCTCTCTCACTCTTTTAGGACACCTGATCTCTGAAGAGAACAAGGAGAGAGCACAAGAACTCCCAGATTCCGAAGCGCTCATGCTGATCCCCAATTGCCAGCTTACTGCTGAATATTTTGAGAAAACTTGGCTTAGCCTTGAAGTGGCTCATCAGCAGGTGTTGCCTTGGCAGGGAGAAGTTCATCCCAGCACCCTCCAGATGGCTCTACAAGTAGTGAACATTCAGACCATTGCGCTGAGCAGGGTTGGGGCCCGGCCGTGGAAAGCCTACCTCGGTGCTCAGGATGCCTCTGGTTGTCTGTTCTTAGCAGAACTGCTGCTGGAGCCCGAGAACTCAGAAATGCAGATTTCTGTGAAACAAAGTGAGAAAAGGACTGAGACACTGACCAGGTTTTTCTCTGTTTTAGAAACTGTCATTGGAACAGTTGGAGACATGAAATCATAGCTGGTTCTTCCTGCTTTCCCCAAGGGAGGTGACTTGCTATCAGAATCTGTAGTTTTTCTTAGTAGAACTGCTTATAAACCCAGATGGAACCATATGCAAAGGAGAAGGAAATCTAGGAATCAGGATTCTTGTGTCTTTGTCCAAAGCTCACTAACTTACTCCCTTTGTGGCTTTGTGATTGACTGAGGTTTTCATTGGTGATGTTAGTAAGACATGGGGGTTAGGTTGAGGACAGGATTGGGAGGGTTTTTCCTAATTCCTTTTAGGGGTTGTGTTACTTATTAAAAGATCCATGCTGGTTGTAGAAACTGATGGGACCTACCTTTTTTTTTTTTTTTGTATTTTAGGGAAGGGTCTACAGGGTGTTCAGGGTCTCACTACTAGGTTGGACTCTAGTGATCGCCTATTTATAGCCTCCCAAGAGCTGGGATTACAGGTGCGTGCCACCACGCCCATTCTCCTACCCTATTCTTTAAGAAACAGTAACTGGCTGTTGTCATACTTCTAATCATGCTTTTAGACTAGGCTTTTGAGTGGTATTTACATACCTCTAGTGTGGCTCCTAAAGTGCCTCTTCAGTTTCATGTGTGACCACTCCCCAAGCACTCTGCCAGAAGCAAACCACGTTTTCCTCTCACACCTACCCTTTAACACCTGTTCTATTTTATTTCTTGTGTAGAACATTTCCTCACCCTTACATCTTCTTTAACAACTGGCATATCTGTCATTCTTCAGCTCAGTCTTGAGCTCTTTCAGGAAGTTTTGTGTGACCCTTCCTAGGGGTCTTACTCAAGCATCAAAGCTGTATCCCTAGCAGTACCAATTGTTTTCTTGTTGTTTGTCTTTTTATTTTATTCAAACCAACCCATTTCATACATTGAGACCCCTTATGGTAAGAACAAATTTAATAAAATATAAAGGACTAGTGAGATAGCTCAGCGGACTAAGTGCCTGCTTATGCAAGTGCAGGGACTAAGGCTCAATCCCTGCTACCACATGCCCCACTGGCCCTGCCCCTAGGCGTGCAGAGCAGGTGACCAAGTTCGGGTGTGGTGATGTGGTGGTGTGGTGGTGCACTTCTGTAATCCCAGCACTGGGAAGCTTGAAAACAGAAGGATCAGAATCCCTGCACAAGGGCTGGCCAGATAGCTTAGCAGACTACAGCACCTGCTTAGGCAGAGCGCAGTGGCAGGAGTTTGATCCCCGATGTGCCATGCTGCCTCCCTCCCCCGGGCACACTGAGACAGCAATTGAGACAGGATGTGGTGGCACGCTCCTATGATCCCAGCTCTAGGGAGGCAGAAAACAAGAGAATCACTATGAGACTGATCTATGTAGTGAGACCCTGTAGACCCTACAGATCTGTACAAAATACGTAAAAAGAAACCCTACACAAAACACATAAAACAATATAGATAGGATCTAACTATCCAGAAAGAGGAAAATAAAGTTACTAGCGAAGACCAACTGGGTCAGGGATAGGAAAATAACAGATGTTCAGGCTACATACAGGTCAACAAAGGTAAGATGGGCCTGGGGAGATGGCTCAGTGGAATAAGCACTTCCCTGGCAAGCGCAAGGGCCTGAGTTCAATCCTCTGTTCCGCCAAAAAAAAAAAAAAAAAGGTAAGGCTTCCAGTTGGCTCTATAAGTGAGTTGGGAGTTGGAAGGAAGGGAAATGATTATGTAATTGTTAACAGAAAGGAAGGACCACTCCAATTTTAAGTTTTTTTTAAAAGTTTCATGTAGGTGTCACAGAACGATATGTATAGGATTCTAAAGGAAGCCAGCAGAGGGTTTCACAGAATTGTTATTATGTTCATCAATAAAACCAGAGATCACAAATACCGATTTTAATTAGCGCATTTCTTTAAGGACTTAATATAACCTAAACATCTGGCCTTCATTATCCAGCTGAGTTTAAGGACTTCTATGTAGGTATGTAGGCTGCATGTCTTTTGGGGTGTTTTTGGTACTGGGTCTCCCTATGCAGCTCATACTCATAGTGATCCTCCTGTTTTCAGCCTCCTCAGTGTTGGGATTACAGGTGTGCGCCACCATGCCCGGACTCGGTGGCTAGCTCGGCGTGCCCAGGGGTGGGGCCTGCGCAGCATGTGCCGGGGATCAATCCCTGTCTCTGCACTTGCCTGCTTTCTTGCACTTGCCTACGCAGGCACTTAGTCTGCTGAGCTATTTTGTAGGCCCTTAAGATGAATGTTTTTCAGTTATATTTTCATCTATCCTTAAAGTAGATTCCTCGTAACAGATAACAGACAGCCAGGGAGAAGGCTCAGTGGAATAAGCGCTTCCCTGGCAAGCGCAAGAGCCTGAGTTCAATCCTCTGTTCCGCCAAAAAAAAAAAAAACAAACAAACAGATAACAGACAATATTAAATTGTCTAGAAGAACCTGGGTTTTGGGGGCATTTAAGAAAATATTTATGTGGTATAGGGTCTCACTATGCAGCTTGGACTCATGTGATCCTCCTGTCTCAGCCTCCCCAGTGCTGGTATTATAGGCATGTGTCACCACACCTGGTTTTGGTGGCCAGCATAGCATGCAGTACTGGGGATCAAACTGAGGTCCTTGCGCTTGCCAGGCAGGTACTTAGACCACCGAACTATCTCCCCAGCCTTATGGGTTGTTTATTACAGGGTCTCTCTGACTGGAGAATTCTAACTACCATATTGCTCAGTAAATATTGAATACATGGCTATAATTAGATTCTGATAGTGTTCTGAGATTGGTGTTTTGAAATACATTTTTATTGTATCAGCTGTACAGAAAGTAATAGAATTTTATCTAGACTAGGATTGTTTTTTTCTTTTTTTAGTACAGGGTCTACAGGGTCTCACTACATAGATAGGACTTGCAGTGATTCTCCTCTATTCAGCCTCCCAAGAACTGGGATTACAGGCTCACACCACCATGCCCAGTCTCAATCACCATCTCAGTGTGCCCTCAGGGCAGGGCTGATACAGCAGGCCCAGGGATCAAAACCCTGGCCACTGTGCTTTGCCTGAGCAGGCGCTTTAATCCGTTAAGGTATCTGGCCAGCTTCTAGACCAGGAACTCTTAAAAGTGGCAGTATTGATATTTGGTGAAAGTATATACTTTGCTATGCGAGGCTTTTCTGTGCACTGCAGGATTATTGTCAGCAGTATCTCAGACCTCAGCCTGGTGGATGCCAGTGGACACCACAGTTGATGTAATTTAAAATGTCTTCAGACATTTCCAGTGGACCCATTGCCCCTATTTGAAAACCACTGAGACTGTCCTTAGGAACTGCAAAGGGAGAGAATAGAACAGCTTTAGAATTTCTTTTTCCACCAAGCGTGGTGCTACATGCCTGTAATCCTAACACTCTGGGAGACTGAGGCAAGAGGATGGCAAATTCAAGCCCATACTCTGTCCTGTGGCCTTGTACCATTGATTATGCAAGATAATACAAAGGAGTGGAGATTAGGTTCCACAGATAGCATTAAGCCATCAGCATAGCAATAGTGAACAGCTAAGGAAGGTGGTTTATTATTGTGGAGAGAGAAGACAGATCTGGCTTTAAATTTCTATTCTGCCACTTACTGGCCAGTGAATTTAGGTGAACATTTAATACCAATTGGGTGGTGTGCTATATGCTTTTTTTCTTTTTTATCACTGGAAATTGAACTCAGGGTCTTCTCACTGAGCTACATCTCTAAGCCTTTTTTATTTTAAAAAAGAATCTTAAAAAAATACATTAAAAAAGAATCTTGGGGCTGGGGAGATAGCTCAGTTGAATAAGTGCTTCCCCGGCAAGTGCAAGGGCCTGAGTTCAAGCCCTGGCTCCACAAAAAAGAAAAAGAAAAAAACCAAAAAACCCGAAACAAACAAAACTAAAAAAAAAAAAAAAAAGAATCTTGCTAAGCCCCCCAGGATATCTTCATACTTGCCAGCTTCCTGACTGAGTCTTCCAAAGAGCTGGGAGAGGGCCAGGGGTTTAGTTCAGTGGCACAGCACCTGCCTGGCAAGCATGAGGTTGTGAGTTTGATTCCTGGTACCAGAAAAATAAGATTTCCATACCTGGGAGTATAAGTGTGTGTACTATATTTGGCTTTATTGTTTGTTCTTGCTTGGGGGTATATAAGCAAGGTATTCTTCAGACCCCTAAATTGTCAGTGACTGTTGTGTAAAAAGGAATTCTTTTACTGAGTAGACTTTGTAATCTAATTTATCAATATACTTGATATAAGGAAAACTCAAACAAGCACCATGAAAGGTAATTGCTTTTCTTAGTTGGGAACACACAGACCTACACAGTTCTTTCATTGCATACCCTTAGGCATGTATTAAAAACAATTTAGAAACACAATCTTCTGCTTAGGCAAGCACAGGGACTGGGGTTCAATCCCGGCACCACATGCCTCGCTGGGGTGTGCTTAACCAGGCACTGAGACCAGGCATGGTAGCTCACACTTGTAATCCCAGCACTGAGGAGGCTGAAAATAGGAGGATCGCTAGAGTCCAAACTGCATGGTGAGACCCTGTACCAAAACATTAAAAAAAAAAAAAAATAGTCTTCAAAATTCTGACAGCTCCTCTGATATTAGAGATCTGGAAACTACATGGTAGTAACTGAAGTTTCAGCCCTTTAGAGAGAATAAGTGATAGGTGATGAAAAATGAAAATGTCCCATAGCTACAAAGGAACTTAATTTTTATTCTGGGCCTAAAAGCTATTTATGATCATTTTTAGAAATTAATAATCTTGGGAGGCTGTAAACAGGAAGATCACTATGAGTCTGATCTACACAGTGAGACCCTGTAACCCTATCCTAAATTTAAAAAAAACAACAAAAAAATCTAATACTCTTTTTCCTGGTTATGCTGGTGCATGCCTGTGATCCCAGCACCTGGGAGGCTGAGGTACGATTGCTGGTTTGGGACAAGTCTGGGTTATATAGTGAAACCCTGTCTCAAAAAACAACCCAAACATTTTTAAATGAGGAATTTTGCCCAGGCATAATGGCACACACCTCTAATCCCACCTTCTGGGAGGCCATGGCAAGAGGATTATCATGAGTTCAAGGCCATCCTGGCCTACATAGTGAGTTCAAGCCCCACTTCAACTATATAGCAAGATGGCATTTCACCCCCCATCCCAATTTTTTTTCTTTTTTGTCTTTTTGAGATAGGGTCTCACCATGCAGTTCAGGTTGGCCTTGAGCTCCCTTTGTAGCCTAGGCTGGCCCTGAACTCACAACAGTCTTCCTGCCTCAGTCTCCTGAGTGCTGAGATTATAGGTATGCACCAGCACACCCAACTAAAATCTTTCTTTGATTCACAGCAAAATTGAGAAGAAAGTACAGAGATTGCCCTTGTGTCTGTGTGCTCTGTCTCCATCGATGTATGGGCTTCCCTCATTAACATCCCCAACCAAAGTGATGCATTTGTTACAACTGGTGAACTTACTTCAGTTATCTATCACCTAAAGTACAGTCATGTAAGTGCTATGTGTAATGTAATGCTTTAATAAGTGATTTCTTTTTTATGCTTAGTAATAATTCATTGTCAGTATATATCACAGTTTATCCATTCATCTGATGGGCATCTTGGTTGGCTCCACATTTGGAGAATTATGAATGAACCTTTCTTAAATGTCCATGTGCAAGTTTTTGGGCAGTCATAAATTTTCATCCTTTTAGGTAAATACTAAGGCGTACAGTTATTAGATTTTATAGTAAAGCAATTGCTTTATCTCTAGCTGTATACAAAACTGCCAAATTAGCTGGGTGTGGTAGTACACACCTGTAATACTAGCACTGTAAGAGGCTAAGGTAGGAGAATCATAAGTTTGAGCCCTATTTGGACTGTTTAGCAAGACCTTGTCTCAAAATAAGAAATAAAGGGCTGGGATGCAGCTTGGAGTGAAGGCTCTGTGTTCAATCTCTAGTACCAAAAACCAAAACAAAAAAAACCAAAACTGCCAATTGTCTTGCAAAGTGGTTGTGCTGTTTTACATTCCTTCCAGCAATGAAGGAGAGTTCCTGTTGCTCTAAATCCTTACCAGCCTTTGGTATCATCAGAGATCTGGATTTTGTTCATTCTAACAAGTGTGTAATAGTCATTTTTTTTAAAGATTAGTTTTGATTATTTCTCAAGAAATTCCATTCTAGCGGGGCATCATAGCACATGCCTATGATCCCAGCCCTTGGGAGGCTGGGGCAGGAGGATCTCTATGAGCTGCTGTCTCAGTTACTCTTCTCTCATTGCTGGGACAAATACCCAAAACCGAAAGTGAAGGAAGGAAACGTTTACTTAGCTCACAGTTATTGGAGGTTTCTGTCCATACTCGGCTGGCTCCAGGGTACAGTGGCACAAGGCAGAGAGCATCCAGTTCATGGTGGCAGAATGACAATGGCAACAGAGAGAATCTGTGTCTGTCTCTCTTACATTGCATTCAGGCTCTCTGTCCCAGGCTTGGGGAAGAGCACACACTCGTAATCCCAGCAGTACTAAAACCCATAATCCCAGCCTTGGATCACACATAATCCCAGTGGATCATGAGTTAATCAAGAAACTCTAGAGGTCCCCACCCCATGACTGCATGAGGCTTTGGGAGGACAACTAGACACAAACCATAACAGCCATATAGTGAGTTCAAGGCCAGCCTACGCAGCAAGACGCAGTCTGAAAAACAAAAAGCCATGTGGAACAACTGACTCACTGTTTATGTCTCTGGGTTTGCTATGGTAAGAAGGCAACCATCACAGTAAGTGACCAGTCCTGAAATCTCTTAAAACAACAGATAAGTTCAGTCCTTTAGGAAAAGGACTGTCACTGATTGGGATTGAAAGAAGCCCACTAACAAAGTAGATAAGGTCCTTGGCTCACAGGGCTAGGTTCTTTTATTTTGAGACGGTACTGGTATGTAATTCAGGTTGGCTCTAAACCCACCATATAGGCCAGCTGACTTTGAACTCAAAACCATTCTTCTGCCTTAGCCTTCTGAGTAGTGGGATTATAGGACTGTACCACCATTCCCAACTTCCTGGCTGAATTCTTGACTAGGTATCACAGAAAAGCACTTCAGGATGTGTCAATGAGAAGCATACAGCTATCAGTTAAAATAAAAAAGTAAACACTCAGCCAGGCATTATGTTTCACTCATACCTATAATCCCAGAACTCTGAGTTCATAAGGATCACAAATTCAAGCCCAGGCTGGGAAATTTGTTAATACTTGGTCCCAAAATAAACTATAAAAAGGATTGAGTATGTAGCTAAGCGGGAAACCCCTGGGCTCAAAGCTCAGCATTGCGAGACAGATGTATGCCCTCAACAAAGGGTGCAGTTCCTTGGGTGAGGTGCAGAATGGCCCAGGATAAGGGGTATTTATGTAGTTTGGGGGTATCCTTAAGACAGATGGCCTAAGGGGCTGGGGAGATAGCTCAGTGGAATAAGCGCTTGCCTGGCAAGTGCAAGGGCCTGAGTTCAATCCCTGGTTCTGCAAATAAATAATAAATAAATAGACAGATGGCCTGGAATGTTTATCTTTTTTTTTTTT